TTGCGCTTGCAGAGACACTGATGAAGAAGTTGATCATCCCCAGCGCAAGCGAGTCCATCGTTCGGCGTCGGGAGAAGATGAGGGAATCCTCGGCCAAAGAGGATAGGAGAGCGGATGATGTGTTGGCGACGCCGCCGAGTTAGTAGCCTATAAGCGGAGCTGGGTCATCCCAGACTACTATCTTGGATGAGGAGACCGAGACGATTACTTTCAAGATTCTGGCTATTGCGTCGACCTATTGTAATGCGACTTCCATGAGCAAGCTGACCGAATCGTTCTTATTCCCAGCGGATGAGGCGTGTTTGAACCAGATGGGCGTAGTTGCTGCCACTAACTAGGGGTATCCCTCGCCTTTCAAGTATGGTAGGAGTTTCTTTCTATTTTGTTCTTGACCTTCGTACTGATGACAATGCTTTTTTGTGCAGGCATTCACAAGCAATCTTCATCTGAGGAAGTCTGTGGTGGCATAAGAGAAGAGGATACAAGATGTGTCCAAGGCGAACACTAGTTTGCGCCAGAGAGAGGCAGCAGCCCAGAAGGCCGAGCAAGAGAGTCAACAGCGTCTGAGGGACATTGAGCGTGAGTTGGAGAGACTGAGGGTGAGTTAGCCGAGAAGACCGCAGAGGTCAATCTCTTAAGGAGCAGTGCCTCTCTATTGCAGATGATGCTATTATCAGGGCCCGGGGGGAGCTCATGCTCGAGTATAAAGCTAGGAACACTTCCCACTAGAATCCGGATGAAGACATCCAGTTCATGCAGGAGATGTTGGAGGAGGGAGCAGATTGATGAGCAGATGCTCGATTTTGCTAGTCGGTTGGGACCGTCGGTTATAGGGGATGTGAGCAACCAGGTTGCAGGGACGGGTACTGGTGCTAGTGATGGAGTGACCGAGTCAGAGATGGGGGAGACGACTTGTATCGCCGACACTTAGGTTTATTTCTGTTTGCTCATGTATTTTGAGGCCTGTGATGCCTTTATTCTTGGCGTGTGTGTCTTTTATTGTACTTTGAACTGGGCCGTTTGAGGCTGTATGTTTTATACTTACTGTTCTAACTTTTGATACTTTCTTGATGGATGAATTGAGTTGTTCATTGTTTTTGTACTTGTGGATGTGCTAGGGTTGAGCTCTCGTGTAGCATTTGTGATTCTAGTGTGGGCTAGTGGCTAAGACATGTAGGCCTTTAGTTGGGCTAGATCGATTGTTTTGCCGACTAAGGGTATAAGAAACCCTTCGTTCGGTTTGAATGACTGGGTATGTAGCTTTGTGGATCGAACGGGGTTAATCTGAAGGTGTGTATTTTTGGATCGGGCAAGGCCGATCTGAAGGTGTAAATTAGCGTCGTGGATCAGGCGGGTCTGATCCGCTGGTGTAAATTAGCATCATGGATTGGGCGGGGCTAATTCGATGGTGTAAATTCGTGTCGTGGATTAGGCAAGGCCAATCCAAAGGTGTAAATTCGTGTCGTGGATCGGACAGGGCCAATCTGAAGGTGTAAATTCGTGTCATGGATCTGGCAGGGCCAATCCGAAGGTGTAAATTCGTATCGTGGATCGGGCAGGGCTAATCCAATGGTGTATCTGAAGATGGAAATTTTCTGAATAATACTTCGTTAAATTAGGCCATGAGGCCGACTGTCTATGAGGAGGTGGATAGGCCCACTCTTCCTTTTTTAAATAAAAACAAAAGAAAACAGATAGAAAAAACAAGTTCACCTAAAAGTAGTAGCGTTTGAGGTGAACGGCATTCCAGCTATTGCCAATGTCTTTGCCCTCAGGGGTCTGGGGTTTGTAAGCACCCTTCCCTGCTTCTTTGATAATCTTGTAAGGACCTTCCCAGATGGGGCCAAGTTTGCCAGAGTTGATCTCCTTTGTGTTTTGGAAGACCTTGCAAAGGACACAGTCTCCTATCTTGAAAGTTTGGATCCTCACGTTGCGGTTGTAGTGTCGGGCGGCTTGTTGCAGATGCTCGCCCATTCCCGTAGCTCATCGACGGTGTCTAAGTTCTGGCAAAGGTTCTAGTTGTTTGTTTCCTTATTCGTCTATTGGAGCCTGGTGGACGGGACTGATACTTCAGTTGGGATGACTGCTTCAAAACCGTATGTGAGGGAGAAGGGGGTCTCGCCCGTTGACGAGTAAGCCGTGGTTCAGTATGACCAAAGGACTCCGGGCAGCTCGTCTGCCCATGCACCATTCGCTTTCTACAATCGCTTCTTTAGGGTCTGTATGATGGTCTTATTTGATGACTCGGCCTGACCATTGGACTGGGGGTTGCGGGAGGTCGAGAAGCTCAGTTTTATGCCCCACGTGTCACAGAAATCCTGAAGCTTAAACTGATAAACTGGGATCCATTGTCGGTGACGATTTCCTTCTGTATCTCGAACCTGCAGATGACATGCTTCCAGATAAATGCTTTTACCTCTCGGTCTCTGATTTGTGTGAAAGCTTCGGCTTCAATCCATTTGGTAAAGTAATATGTCATAGCCAACATGAAGACTTGTTACCCGGGTGCGGTCGGTAGTTTTTCCACTATATCCATTCCTCACTTCATAAAAGGCCAGGGTGTGAGGATGGAGTGGAGTCGCTCGGGTGGGAGGTGTGAGACATGAGCAAACCTTTGACAACTATCGCACTTCTTCACAAAGCAGCCGAATCGGTTCGTATTATGGGCCAATAATACCCAGCAGTGATCACCCAGTGTGCCAGGCTGCGTATCCCCGCATGGTTTCCGTATTTGCCTTCATGAAGTTTGGCGAGAACTTGTTAGGCCTCCTCTGGGCTTGTGCACTTGAGATAGGGTCCCAAGAATGATTTTCTGAGGAGTTGGCCCTCATGTATGGTGAATCTGGCAGCTCTTGCTCTCAGTCGGCGTGCTTTATTCTTGTCAGCATGGAGTTCGTTGTGCTCTAAGTATTTCACTATTGGAGTCATCCAACAGTCGGCTAGTTCAATGTCCATTGCTTTCTCAGACGACTTTTTTGGTGGTTATTCCTTCCAGTTGGCTGGCCATTGCATGAACAATAGAAGAATGGATTACTAAGAGGAAAATTTGAGCGTTGAGCCAAGGTTGGCAAGGGCGTCAGCGTGAGAGTTCTCTGCTCTTGGGACTTGGACGATGGAGAACTCTTTGAATTGGGCCTGCAGCTCCTTGACCATGTTCAAGTAAGCCGTCATATTTGAGTCGCGTGTTTGGTACGTGCGTTGTAGTTGATTGACCACGAGCTGGGAGTCAGACTTCACCTCCAGTCTCTTCGCTCCAATTTCTTTGGCTAAGGAGAGTCCAACAATGAGAGCCTCATATTCAGCTTCGTTGTTTGTGCACTTGAACCCACACCATATTGCCCATTGGATGATGTCTCCTTCTGGTGCAATCAGTACTAGCCTGAGTCCACTTCCATTCACGTTACTTGAGCCATCCACTAAGAGAGTCCATTTGGAGGGTAACCCTCCGTTCAAGCATAACAACTCATTTTCTATTTGGGTTGTGGTACTCGGGGTGAAATCAGTAATGAAGTCTGCCAATGCTTGTGATTTGACAGTAGTGCGAGGCTGGTGGGATATGTTGAACTCACTTAGGTCTATTATCCATTGCGTGAGTTGACCTGATAGCTCTAGTTTGTGCAGTATCTTCTTAAGGGGGAAAGAGGTGAGTACAACTATGGAGTGACACTGAAAGTACGGCCTGAGCTTCCTGGATGCATAGATGAGGGCGAGGGCCAGTTTCTCCAGTTAACTGTATCGCGTTTCTGCGACGAGGAGTGACTTGCTTACATAGTGAACCGATAACTGCTTCGTCTCTTCTTCTCGAACTAGCACTGCTGAGATTACTATCTCTGAGACTGCTAGGTAAGTGTAAAGCTTCTCCTCATCCACAGGCTTGGAAAGGAGTGGAGGGGAGGTCAGGTACCTTTTTAGTAGTTGCAGGGCTTCTTCGCAGGAGGGGGTCCACTCGAACTTCTTGGACTTCTTGAGGGCATGAAAGAAGAGATGACACTTGTCGGCAGATCTGGAGATGAAGTGGCTCAAGGCAGCAACTCATCTTGCTAGGCGCTGGACGTCTTTGATGCAAGCCGGGGATGGTATACTAAGGATCGCTTTGATCTGGTCAGAGTTGGCTTCTATCCCTCGCTGAGTAACCATGTAGCCCAAGAACTTACCTAACGAGACGCAGAATGAGCATTTGGCTGGATTTAACTTCATGTTATACTTCTTGAGGATGACGAATGCCTAGCGGAGGTGGTCAAGGTGCTGTTCAGCCATCTTTGACTTGACGAGCATGTGGTCGATATAAACCTCCATTGTGTCTCCAAGGTGCTTGGCAAACATCCTGTTGACTAGCCGCTAGTAAGTAGCCTCGGCGTTCTTGAGACCCAATGGCATCACTTTATAGCAATAGGTTCCCCTTTCCGTGATGAAGGCTGTCTTCTCTTGGTCGTCCGAGTGCATCAAGATCTAGTTGTACCCTAAGAAAGCGTCCATGAAACTAAGGAGCTCGTGGCTTGCGGTTGCATCAACATCATGTCGATATGTGGAAGTAGGAAGGAGTCCTTAGGGCAGGATTTGTTTAAGTCCGTGAAATCGATGCAGACTCTCCACTTCCCGTTCTTTTTCTTTACAACCACGACATTCGCCAACCATTCGGGGTAGTGGACCTCTCTGATCATACCATTGCTCAGCAGCTTCTCGACCTCTTCATTGACGATTTGGTTACACTCTGGTGCGAATTTCCTTCTCCTCTGCTTCACTGGTAGGTGATCCGGATCTACCTTGAGCTGGTGGACCATTGCTTCTGGACTAACTCCTATCATGTCAGCGTGTGACCAGGCGAAACAATCTTGGTTTTGTCTGAGGAATTCTATCAGCTTTTCTCTTGTCTCGGGCTCGAGGTGGGAACCTATGTGTGTTTTTCTCTTGGGGTTGTCCGAATGTATCTGTACTTCATCCAACTGTTCCATAGATGGTTGGTCCAGCTCGGTCAGAGGGGTTGGATAGAATTGTAATTGCTATGAAGTGTTATCCTTGCCCTTGAAAGTATTCGGTCCAACCTGTCTGTTATCGGTTCTCGTTGGTTGGCGATCATAGGGCTTCTTGACTTTGCCTATGTTACGCATTGGGGGTTGATAGCAGTGTTCCACTGATCTGTGCTCTAGCTTTCTGTCATTCCGCCTTGGGTTGTATCTGGCGTGAGTTGCCCGGTTTGTCTCATCTTCTTCCCACCTTATATGGATCACTACACGGGCTAAAGCGTCTTCCATCATGGTACAACCCAGCTTCGTTAGTTCTTTGTATAGTTCTCCATCCGGAAGAAGGCCCTTTCTAAAGGCGTCTACGGCTGCCTCCGGGTTGCAAGAAGGGATGGAGATCTTCTCTTTGTTGAATCTGCTGACATACTCTTTTAGCGGCTCTCCCCTCTTCTGGTATACTCTGTATAGATCGGCTGACAACTTCTCGAGTTTCTTGCTGCTTGCGAACTGCTCCACAAAGGTGTCGATGAGCTGAGCGAATGAGTCGATGGAACAATTCGGGAGGTTTGTGTACCACTGGAGGGTTGGACTGGATAAGCTTGAACCAAAACTTTTGCACATGCAGGCTTCCCTCAACGCTCGGGGTATTGAGAAAGTGAACATCCACTGCTTGTACAAGACTATGTGATCATCAGGGTCAGTTGTGCCGTCGTAGGATTTCATGTTGGGGATGGTGAACTTCTGGGACATGTCAGCTAAGGCGATCTCATCCACAAAGGTGAGTCAGCATAGCAGTGAGGCCTACTTTTCTTTGTCGGGATCGGCATTCTTAGGATGCCCCTCATCACTGCCTCTACATCAGCCAACCTCTTAGCCGGTACCTGTTCCATAGGAGAGGACACCACTAGGTCATCCCGCTTGACTGAGTCGGCCTTTGCATTCGTCCTTGGCATATTCCGTTGGGCCATCTCATGTGGTGTAGTTTGGTGGATCATTCCTTCGTGAACACCCTGGTAGCCTGGATCTTCGTTCACTCCTTCTAGTTGGATGACTCCCATGATAACCAATCTGGTGTTTCACCCTACACAAATGGTCATGGGGGTTGTTTGATAGTCACTCGATCCATCAGAATGGGTGGGCTCGAGTGCTGTAGTTTGGTTGGGTTGGCCGTTCAACCCATGAGGGCGAGACGAGCCGAATGGTGTTTGTGTGGGGATTGTTAACTGAAGGTGAGGCTGGATGGTAAGAATGGGCCGGTCTTATGGGTGTGGACTTTTCGTCACTTAGGCGTCTTGATCTTGAAACTGGGGTGGATCGGCTAAGTGGGGTTCTGTAGGCAGATCCTTTTCTCCATGAGTCAGGACCGAATCACCGATCGCCAATAAACTTAATGGACGTGGCCTTTTACCGGAGGCCACTAGTCCGTGCTCTGGGGTTTGGAGAGGTTGCATGGATGGGACAGAGACACGGAACCGATTGGGTGGTACCTGACAAGGCAGAAGCTCGAGGTCATAAAACTGGCTTACCTTTTCTTTCAGAGACTGGTTCTCGGCCCTAATGGAGGCGTTTTCGGTCTGGATGGCAGTGTTAGGACTGTAAACGAGCCGAGCTGAGCCGGCTCGCGAGCCGGCTTGGCTCGGCTCGATAAAAGCTTATTTAGGGCTTGGCTCGATAAAGCTCGGTTTGACTCGACTCGAACTCGGTTTGTTAACCGAGTCAAGCTCGAACATAGTGAAGCTTGGCTCGTGGGCTTGCGAGCCTGGCTCGGCTCGTCGGCTCGTGAGACTGGCTCGGCTCGATTAAGCACTGTACACTTCATAGGGTGTTTTGGTAATTTTTTAAACTATTAGGTATTAAACCGATATTTTTCAGTGAAAAAAGTTTTAAAAAATGATAGTTTCCCCCTAAAGTGCAAATTTGAAATAACACAATAGCAAGCTCGATAAGGCTCGTGAACTTGGCTCGCGAGCCGGCTCGAGCTCGAGCTCGATAAGGCTCACAAACTCGGCTCGCGAGCCAGCTCGAGCTCGAGCTCGAGCTCTAGTCTCAATTTTGAGGCTCACCAGGCTCGAGCTTGAGCTCAAGCTCGACACTGTTGTAAACAAGCCGAGCTCGATAAGCCAAAAGCTCGGCTCGGCTTGGCTCGTTTACACCCCTAGGCAGTGTTCTCAGCTTCCAATACGGCTACCTTGTCTGAGTTTTGTTGCATGAGGGCAGTCAGAGCCTCCAGTTTGGCCTCGAGGCCAGGGTTAGCGTTGTCAGAATTGTCAGCCATGGAAAATTCCTCTACGTAGCAAGGTTTGTTGAGCCGAATGATTGCTAGAGGCCCCACGGTGGATGTCAAACTGTAGACGTAAAAAATCTACCTGTACAGAAAAAGGGTCTGATCTCGTGAGGTTGAGGCCATTAGCGATCCGCTGCACCTGCACACGTAGAGAAACGAATGTGAAGCGACGGAAAACACCAGGGTGGTGTTTGCCATAGGCACTCCAACGCTCAAGTCAGCAAGGCTGAAAGCGGCTAATTTAGTAAGGGCTAAGGAGTAGAGAGGTTACCGGAAGTCTAGTCGGGGACTGTGACTACGGCGATGATGTGAAGTTCTCAAGTAGGAACTCCGGGCGTGAAGGTGTAGTATCATCTATCTTGTGAGAGGGCTAGCCTCTGTTTATATAGTGACTGTCTGGTCTCCCATTTCTGGTGGGAGTAGGAGTCCTAGACTGACTCTGATATGAACCCTAAAGGAGTTGGGGCGGTGGTGAGCTGTCTTACCAATGTTCGAATAGGAAAGTGATCCTGAACAGGAAAGTAACCTCGAATAGGAAGTTGATCAGGAATAGGAAAGTAATCTTTCCACATATCTATCCATTTTAAATTCCAAATTTCCATAAAAAAAAAATAATAACATATAAATTAGTTAGACGAAATTTAAACAAATGTATACAACATAATTTTATTAGAATGATAAAAAATATTTAGATTTATAACGTTAATTATACAATATCGTTCACATTCAAATACTTCAAGATTTGGTATGAATCCTGTTCTTATCGACTCTTACCATCAAACTTAACTAACGTACACAACCACTAAAAAAGAAACTCAAATTAGCAAATTAATTTCTCTATCTTTCTTCACCTCTAATTACTGAATCAAGATGAAGCTGCATAATAATTTTGACTATAACTTATTTGGTGGATTGAATATGTTGATGCTGGATTTTGGCACCAACTAATTGTCACGTGCGTAGCATTGATTGGTCAAAAAGCACACGTGATAATGAATATAGAAAACGAAATAAATGCTATGAGAGCTTTTAAAGTGGTTTAGATGCTAAGGTAGCAAGTCCTATGTCCACTAATTTGTATTGATACTGATAGTGTGGGTCAGGTCGCCACAGCGGACTGACTTACAAAAGATTGGGAAGTAGATACCAAAGCGTGAGAGAGAGAGTTTTTTTTGTATAAAATTGTCAAATCCCCTTAATGAAGGGGTCTTCCTCTTCTTATACCGAGTTGAATGTGCGTAATCATCACTAAATCCTTGGGTTGGTGTGATTGTTAGGACCTAATCTGATTTTACGTCCCATTACCCATTTTCCAAGCTGATTTCACGCGATTCGGAGCAGGTTAGCAACACGTGGGAGCACCAGGGTGTTTGGCAAGCCTGACGTGCGCTTACCGTTCTGACGGGAGTAGGCCACGTTTCGTCACGCAACTCCACGTCAGCCTTTGATTTCTTATTCATAATAGAAGCCCCCTAGTTTGTAAGGTTTGAGGGTCGAACCTTGGAAACTAAGCCATGTCGCGGTTGGAGGTTTTGGTTGTTCCGACCTGAATAGAAGAAGCTCGGGACATGACCCTTGGCGAACACGACCTCGCACAGTTCTCGCCCAAACAACCTGAGAATTGTCATTTTAACGACCTGGATTCGTCGGGCGCTCTTTTACGTGCCTTGGAGAGATTCAATGAACCTGCATCCACGCTGTCAGACGCTCTGCATGCACTGCAGTGCCTGCCAGAAACATTAAATGCGTTGTGCTGACTCGGCGTTGTTTCGACAGCTCTGACTACATGACGCACTTGAAATGATGTCTCCTATCACGGCATTTAATGCGACGTGGGGTGCATTAAATGCGGGGAGAGAGAGGACGCTGTCGTTTCAGTTCCGAGAAGTGGTAACCGTCGATTCGCAATCCATATAAAAACTCACATTTTTCAGATGAGGTCACGAAAACCCCTTTTACTTCGAGTGACAAGCCTTTGCAAACCAGAAATTATTCTTTCCGATCGGCGCTTCTTAGGCAACTGAAACGAGTTTCGGCCTCGGTTACGCATCCCAGAAGGTAAGATTCTCTTCTTCTTCTTCTTCTTCTTTTTTTTTTTTTTTTTTTGCATTTGTTTGGTTGGTGGGCAACGACGTTGGGTCTCCTGGCGTTCCACCAGAGACGTGCCACTGTTGCCGGACTCGAGCCGTGGGTGGCGACTCAAGTTACTATTAGGGTTTTAGGAATTTGTCCCCTGTCGCCGCACGGGACAAAACACAAAGGCCTAAATGACCGTGTCTGTCGATGTTGCAGACTCTGGAATGGATCCGTCAACGTCCAGAACCGAGGAAGCGGCCAGCTCGTCCTCGCTGGACGTTTCTGAGGACGCATCCCTTGATGTCTTCTCGGTTCTCACCCAAGAAGAACTTAATAGGATAAAAAAGCAGTTTGACGTCCGCGCGGAGGTGTTCCTCGACCATACCAGGTCGTCACGGCACCCTTCCGATGGCCTTGCCGCGATCTCTGAAGAGATCTTCAAGGGTGGAGGGACGATTCCCCTCCATCCTTTCATCAGGTCGGTCCTGGATCACTTCGGGATCGCACCGATGCAACTCACGTCAAACGCGTATGTCATCGCTGTTGCGATGTACATCGCGTGCTACGAAAGCTACTTGGGTGAGCCAACGGCAGTGGAGCTCGGCGTTGCCTATTACCTCAAAAAGAGTAGGGACAAGGATTCATACTACTTGTCCCGACGACCTACCATCATCGAGAGGATACATAGCTATCCCAGCAATGCGGGGGCCTACGAGACAAAATTCTTCTTTTTCTGCTATGACGGCCACTGCCGCTTTCAGACACCAAGTAGGTTATTCCTCGTGAGGCATATTATCTGTTCGCATGCTCTATAATAACGACCTGTATTCTTTTGCAGTTAACAGAACGACCAGCCAAGACTTACTTGACGACTCGGAAAGGCTCTTATCTTTTGGAGTACTAAACGAGGAGAGACGGGAAGCGAGGAAGCTCATGACAACCGCGAACTTGCAGAAGTACAGTTTTTTCAGCAACAAAGCATCTTTAGAACCCTTAGAAGGTAAGTTACGTTGATTCCCGTCCTGGTCGCGGAGCAATTTTGTTTACTAACGCACTTGCATGCAGAAACTATGCCCCCGAAGGAATCCGAGCAGCCCCGCCGAGCTCCGTTCGTCTTCCCTCGATCAAGGAGGGAGAGAGCGGTCGAAGCTGCTCGTCCCATTCCTGCATAATCGATGCGAACTGCTGCACCTTCACAGCCCCTTGTGCATGAAGCGACCAGGGCAGAACAGGTCGCTTAGGCACCACCGGCACGCCCAAGGCGTAAGGCCCCGGCCCAAAGGTCGAAGAAGAGGAAACAAGTTTAGGCCGAAGAGTTTGAGACCGAATCCGATGAGGAGCCCTTGAGGTCACGAAGGGACTCAAGGAGGTTGGGCAAGGAACCTGCAAG